AGTTAGGGCATGGTAAACTAGAGTTAGGGCACGGTAAACTAGAGTTAGGGCAAGGTAAACTAGCGTTAGGGCACGGTAAACTAGAGTTAGGGCACGGTAAACTAGAGTTAGGGCACGGTAAACTAGAGGTAGTTAGGGCATGATAAACTAGAGTTTGGAACGGTAAACTAGAGTTAGGGCACGGTAAATTAGAGTTAGGGCACGGTAAACTGTAGGTCCTGATTAAAAGTCCTGTGAGTCTTTAAAAGCCACTTGCGCCCATAATTTATAAGTTTTTCGTTACTATTTCATACTTTTTTGTTAGACTTTGTATTTCAAATTTTCCAGTAAGGTATCTGGAACTACAGAGTTACCCACAAAGGATGAGACTTCAGAGACGATTGTACGGAATTTATTTAATCCATTTCCTTGCATTCAGGGTTTCTTGTAGGCCAAAACTGGTTTATTTCTGTGCTTAATCACTAAGTAAACCATAAAAAAACTAAATTAAGAGCAAAAACCAAAAAGGAAGCTTCAAATCGACATATTTTTAGAGTTTTGGGTCGTCTTTACAGTCTCATCTTTTGTGGGTAACCCTGTATTTTTGGCGGATTTTGAATGAGAGATCATGAGTAAAATTTTACAAGATTTACTTTGTTGTAGTTAGTTTTANTTAAAAAAATTAAATGACTTAATGCAGTTTTTGAATTATTCTGTCGTATTTTGGAAATAATTACTTTAAACCAAATAGATTCTAGTACAATAGATGGCAACGTAGAATTTGTACACTCTTAGTACAGCTGTATTCTGAAGTGTCAATTCAGTTTTATTATTAAAATAGTGATAATTTAAGAATAAAGTGGTTATCTTACAGTGAAATTAGTGCAATTTTGTGTTTTTTATTTTGATATTTTTACACTTTTTTATATAATCTTGGAAAACATGTCAACTAATGAAAGAAAATGTTGTTTTTCTTGTTATATTCGACACTTGTGACGTTGTGTATATTTGGTCCATTTCTCTGTTGCCACCTATAGTACTTAATAGTCTATTTGCTGTGAACTAAACAGGAGGAAAAAGTGAAAATCATATTAAATTACTGGTATGACTTTGTGATAACACAAGGCAGTTACATAAACCGAAAACAAACAAGGTGGTTGGATATCAAAATCCGCGAAATCCAGGCATAAAATGTTTCTTATTTGCCGCGGAAAAAATAAGAAACTTTTTATACCCGAGATCATGAAATTTCGCGTAAAAATACGAAATAAAAATTCTACCCAAATCTCATAAAAGTTTTGTTTAAGGTGTCTGGAGTTTATCTGTGGACTGTTCCAGCTGGAGTTTTTTGCTCACTTCCCAACCTTCTCAAGCTTAATCTAACAAACAACTATTTACAGGTTGGTTTACATTAGTAATTGCTAGGCGTTTGGTTTGGCAAGGAATCATTTTTCTTTTTTCTTTTTATCTAAAGATTTGTAGCTTATATAGCATTGATAAATTGAAATATATTTATTTAAATGTATATAACTTTAGAATTTATGGATTTGTTTTACTTTATCATTATTTTATAGTTTAATTTTTTTTGTCTCCAGCTACGGTTGTCATTATTAATCTATCTATCTATAGACTAATCTATATATCTTATATAGGTCTATCTAATTATAATAAGTATATATATATTTGTCTTTCTTTCTATATATCTATATATCTTTCAATCTAACTATGAATCTTTTTATCTATCTATCAATATCTATTTATCTATTTATCTATCTATATCTTTTTTCTAACTACTAATGTTTCTATCTATCCATATCTATCAATCTATTTATCTATTTATCTAAATACTAATGTATCTATCTGTCTATATTAATATGAGTGTCTGGCCAAAAGATCGTGTTCTGTCAAAAGAAATATTTGATTTGAGTCCCGGTAACGCCCATTTCTCCGCCCCGCCCATTCCCTCGCCTGTCTCGACGCTGCCAAACGGAAATTTAATCGGTCAAAGCACGTCAAATTCTGAAACGGAAGTTGCCAGTTTTAAAATTAGTTTACGGGTTGGGCAGGGGGAGGGGGGGCNAGATAGATAGATAGATAGATAGATAGATAGATAGATAGATAGATAGATAGATAGATAGATAGATAGATAGATAGATAGATAGATAGATAGATAGATAGATAGATAGATAGATAGATAGATAGATAGATAGATAGATAGATAGATAGATAGATAGATAGATAGATAGATAGATAGATAGATAGATAGATAGATAGATAGATAGATAGATAGATAGATAGATAGATAGATAGATAGATAGATAGATAGATAGATAGATAGATAGATAGATAGATAGATAGATAGATAGATAGATAGATAGATAGATAGATAGATAGATAGATAGATAGATAGATAGATAGATAGATAGATAGATAGATAGATAGATAGATAGATAGATAGATAGATAGATAGATAGATAGATAGATAGATAGATAGATAGATAGATAGATAGATAGATAGATAGATAGATAGATAGATAGATAGATAGATAGATAGATAGATAGATAGATAGATAGATAGATAGATAGATAGATAGATAGATAGATAGATAGATAGATAGATAGATAGATAGATAGATAGATAGATAGATAGATAGATAGATAGATAGATAGATAGATAGATAGATAGATAGATAGATAGATAGATAGATAGAAAGATAGATATATAGATAGATAGATAGAAAGATAGATAGATAGATAGATAGATAGATAGAAAGATAGATAGATAGTTAGAAAGATATATAGATTGATAGACAGGGATATATTTTATTGTACGAGTTTTTAGTAACATAAATTTGCTTGAAAACGAGCAAATAATTTTGTTAAAATTTGATAATGGTGAAAACATGAAATTATTCAATTCAAAGCTGATGCATTATCTCAGTCTAGTAATATGAAGTTGTGTGAAATGTTGATAAATGTTTAACTATAATGTCAAGTTTGAATTTCAAAAAATTGATGGAGGTGTCCCACACCATATTGGATTGTGCATAGCTCTAAATTGTGATTATCTTAAATTAATAAATATTGAATATTTTTAAAAAAATTAAATGACTTAATGCAGTTTTTGAATTATTCTGTCGTATTTTGGAAATAATTACTTTAAACCAAATAGATTCTAGTACAATAGATGGCAACGTAGAATTTGTACACTCTTAGTACAGCTGTATTCTGAAGTGTCAATTCAGTTTTATTATTAAAATAGTGATAATTTAAGAATAAAGTGGTTATCTTACAGTGAAATTAGTGCAATTTTGTGTTTTTTATTTTGATATTTTTACACTTTTTTATATAATCTTGGAAAACATGTCAACTAATGAAAGAAAATGTTGTTTTTCTTGTTATATTTGACACTTGTGACGTTGTGTATATTTGGTCCATTTCTCTGTTGCCACCTATAGTACTTAATAGTCTATTTGCTGTGAACTAAACAGGAGGAAAAAGTGAAAATCATATTAAATTACTGGTATGACTTTGTGATAACACAAGGCAGTTACATAAACCGAAAACAAACAAGGTGGTTGGATATCAAAATCCGCGAAATCCAGGCATAAAATGTTTCTTATTTGCCGCGGAAAAAATAAGAAACTTTTTATACCCGAGATCATGAAATTTCGCGTAAAAATACGAAATAAAAATTCTACCCAAATCTCATAAAAGTTTTGTTTAAGGTGTCTGGAGTTTATCTGTGGACTGTTCCAGCTGGAGTTTTTTGCTCACTTCCCAACCTTCTCAAGCTTAATCTAACAAACAACTATTTACAGGTTGGTTTACATTAGTAATTGCTAGGCGTTTGGTTTGGTTTGGTTTGGTGGCCATTTTTATCATTCTTAAATTTGGCGGATTTATTTATATATCAGTGCATTTTTAATTTTCAAAAATAATGATTGTTGATATTTTTTTCTTGGAAACATTTTTCAACTTTAACGGTCCGTAATCCTTCCCTAATGTCATGAGAGTTTTCAATAAAACATTTGGGCCCTGTATGTCCCAGCCCTGTAGGTCCCAGCTCTGTAGGTCCCATCCCTGTATGTCCCAGCCCTGTAGGTCCCAGCCCTGTAGGTCCCAGCCCTGTANAACCAAATATACTTTTCCCCCCTAATTTTTTATTCTTCTTTTTTTCCTTTCCTTTCTTTCTTTCTTTCTTTCTTTCTTTCTCTTCCTTATCCTTCTCATAAAATACCATCCGTTACGTTCTGTTCCCTTCCGTTGCTTTCCGTTGCTTTCCGTTCCTTTCCGTTGCTTTCCGTTCCTTTTCGTTCCTTTTTTGTTGCTTTCCGTTCCATTCCATTCCTCTCCGTTCCTTTTCGTTCATTTCTGTTCTTTTCCGTTCCTTTACGTTCTTTTCTGTTCCTTTCCGTTCTTTTTTGTTGCTTTCCATTCCTTTCGGTTCTGTTCTGTTCCTTTCCGTTCCTATCAGTTCCTTTCAGTTTCTTTCAGTTCCTTTCAGTTCCTTTCCGTTCCTTTCAGTTCCTTTCCGCTCCTTTCCATTCCTTTCCGTTTCTTTTCGTAACTTTATGCTCCTTTCAGTTCCGTTCCTTTCCGTTCCTTTTTGTTTTTTTTTAAAGTTCTTTTTCGTTCCTTTCTCTTCCTTTCCGTTCCTTTCCATTCTTCCCCTTTCCTTTCCGTTCCTTATTTTCTTCTCCTTTCCTTTACCTTCCTTTCCATTCTTCTCCTTTCTTTTCCGTTCCTTTCCATTCTTCCCCTTTCTTTTATTTTACTTACTTTCCGTTCCTTTCCATTAATCTCCTTTCTTTTATTTTGCTTCCTTTCCGTTCCTTTGTGTTCCTGCCTGTTCCTTATTGTCTTTGTTTTTGTTTTCTTCCTAATGTTTTCCTTTCAGTTCCTTTTGCTAAACAAATTTTGTAGAAGTAAACTTGGATATATCCCTTTCATACAGTTTATTTGAATTAATTGAGCATTTAGACTTAAACCTTTCTTTAAACCCTTTCCCCTTCAGAAGAACTACCTCCATACAAACCAAATATAAACAAATAAAATAACATAATTTTATTTTCCTCAATTTGACAAAAGTAATCAGAATAAGGAATAATAATCCGGGGTCTTACTTTGGATTATACAAAATGTATTCAACCCCCCATCCTCCTCCCTTCTTTGCCCCCCTTTCTCACCCCATTTTCTTGCCCCACTTCCTCACTTCTATTCCTTGTCTCCCTTCCTTACCCCCTTTCTCGCCACGTATCTAACCAAAGTAAAATGCACAAAATATTGAAATAACTCCTCTCTTAGTAAACAGCTGAAATTAAAAAAAAACAAAATGTTTTGAATTTCCAATTTGCAATAAATTTGCGAGCTTTATTCTTGTGAAAAAAAACGAGAGAAGTTACAAGATCACAAAGTTGGACCAGTAATTTCACATAAATTTTATCTTTCCTTTTTGTCTAGTTTACAGTGTTTCTTGTCCTCCTCCTCTTTCCTTGGATCAACTTTCTTTCAAGAATGTCCTTTTCTGTTAAAGATTCCCTCTTGAAGTCCAATATAAGTTTAATCTACCGTCAAGTGCGACAAACTATTAGAGTTCAAATACCTTCCATTTTTACTATTTTACAATTTTCTACAAAATTTGTCAAATTCTATATAATACAATACGTATAAAGTCAAAATTTAGGCAGGATTAAATTACAAAAGTTTATTTGAAAATGCATCGAATATTTAGAATATATTTCCTAACATAGCCATTTAGAATTAGATATAACTTAAAAACTTTATTTTAGGAGGTCCCAGATTTGGGAATTTTGGCGGAAACTGATGATGAAGAAATCTACCAAACCAAATATGGATTTCAAAATGGCGGCTCCTCGTCATGTCTCCATTCTTTACGAGTTCTGGATCTTTCAAATAACAGGCAACAAAACAAATATATATTATATTTAATGTTTTACACAGAATTTAGTTTTATTGAATTAATTCTGTGAGATTCATATTTTGCCTTGTTACTTAAACTGGAAAAAGTATGGCTTCTACTTAAATCATATTCTAAGTAGAATGTTGTATAGATATAAGGAAATATGTTTTGATAAGTTTTAAAGTTTCGTATGCATTTTTCATCGTTAAAATACTGTTTCTATTTAAATTCTAAAATTATTAAATGTAACAAAAGTAGATAGTTCAAATAATTTAAAAATATAAGCGTGACTAATTCCAAGCTTTTTGAACGTGTCCACAGGGGATAGTATATATTTTTCACAAATTGACAAGGAAATACCTTCCATGTACTAATAGGTGGATATTAGATAGATAGATAGAAAGATATTAAAAAATATAGATAGATAGATAGATTCACCTGGATAGACAGATAGTCTGGTGCCGGTCAACCTAGTTGACACACTCACTGTAAACTATATATTTTGCAGATAGATAGCTAGATAGATAGATAGAGAGATATATAGATAGATAGATACTAATCTCTCAATTCCTTTCAACAAAATATGGAAATGAGTGTGGGGGGGGGGTGTTAGGAAATTAGATTTACAGTCGCTTCTTTTTAAGAAGAGTATCCAAAAACATTTTTTAATAAAAACACAAAAACTTTTGCCAGCCAAAAAAAGGCTAGGACAGAGAAAAAATAATTTTCTTAAAAAAAATTTTTTGCTTTTAAACTTTTTTAACTTCGATAAATCTGGACAAAAGTAACAGGAGTCACACACATTAAGAACAAATGACAATAGTGATGAATTAGACACAAATAACATTATTTGAGAATAGTGACAAATATTTACATATTAATGATACATTTTGACATGTTTAGTTAGACAAAAGTGACAATAGCGACAATAGTTTTATATTCAGACAATAGTTTCAATAGTTCAGACATAAGTGACAATATAAAAATTTAGACATATATTATACAGACAAAATTAGACACAATGACACAATTTGACACAATGACACAATTGGACACTGCAATGACACAATTTGACACAATGACACAATTAGACACAATGACACAATCAGACACAATGACACAATTAGACACAATGAAACAATTCACTTCACTTCACCATTAAGATTGCAATCAATGTTTTGCTGAATTTATCATGTTTATTTTTCCATGTTTATTTTATTTATTTATTTTAGTATTTATGCAAGTGTTAGGAAGCATAACCCAGTATATAGGATTAGATTAGAGAGTAATATATGTAATATATATATAGTAATATATTTCTTATATATTTTTTTATGTGTTATATATATTTACTGTAGATGTAATTTTCCCTCCATTTTTAAGGATGTATCTTAGATTCACAATTGTGTCATTTTAAAGGGACTGTAAGCATAATTTCAAGTGACCCTCCATGCAAAGATGGCAATGTCCGATTTACAACGTACTCTTGAAACCTGAATCTGATCAAAAGCGTGAAAGATATCGTTATTTCCCTGACTCTAAAAAAACATGGGTATTCTTAATTTATACTTGATCAGAAACGAGGATCGCTTGAAAATACGCCTATTAATTCTGCAAACTATTAAAAAACAATCTTTCTCATTCACCCTGAACAAGCGCTCGTTGCGTACTGCGCGCGCGTTGCAAGCCTCTTAAAATTACTTTGCCAGTCCCTGTAATGAGTTTGTTTCAGGATGACCCAGGTGCCTGACTATGGGGTCGCTAGGCTGGTCAACTTACAGGCTCTCAACCTTTCATCAAACCAGATAGACAGGTATAAATAGGTTGCATAATAATATATAGGATAAGAAAATTTGAGTTTGTGGCAAAGACTCAATTCTTTAGTATGCTCTAAAGTTTAGTTTTGGCGTTATAAATACTGCTACATTTTAAAATGAAAGGAAATGACAGAAATATATTGTCAACTTAATTATTAATAAAACAATTTAAGAAGTGTTATTTTACCAGATTAAAAACGACCACAAACCCCATAGAAATCCACAAACCAGACCTGACACTCAGAATAAATAAATAGATAAATAAATAATTTAGAAGAAAACTTGGAACCAAAATTGGATTAATTCAATTTTAGACTGGTCCTTTTTCATTTGGTAAATGGTATAAAACATCAAGAACTTTTTTATTTTGTTGTTTAGAGTTGTTTTGGATTTTATATTTATCTAGAAATATGGGATTCTTTGTTTTCCTAATATTGGTTTAGCTTGTACTGTACTGCAGGGAGGAAACTTTTGCGGATTTTTAAAACAATTTCGCGTATTTTCTTAAAATCTGGACTTACATACATTCGTAAACTTCATAAACACATTAGTACATATGTACATAGATGTACACATTAAATAGTCATTTAGAACGGATTAAGCTGTATACTTTAATTTAATGTGTTATTTAAAAATCTGTTTGCTTAAGAAGTCGGAAAAAACAGCGGATCGCAATAAATTCAATTTTGTTGAAATAAATATAAATTGATATGGATATATATCAGATATTATTTAATGTTTCTTTATATTATCAAGTTTTAAACTAATGAATTTTTAGATTGGAGGAACGTGCATTTTTCGGACTTTCCTGCCTTAACGTGCTAAGTTTGGGAGGGAACAAACTAGCCGCCATTCCTCCACTTCTTCTCTCACATACACCGGACCTTAGGAACATACTTACAGCCATTAATTGATATTCTTCTGTTACATTTCCTTGCATATTGGAAATTCAAGAATTTTTCTTATCTTTAAAATGAAGAGTAAGAATTCAAAGCATGTTTTGTTAATGATAAGCGCCTATTTTTTATAATATTTCATTTCTAAAGTTTTTTTTTAGCTTTTCGCAAAAATGCGCTAAAAGAAATATAAATTCCGACTAATCTAGTAAATTTGGTGGATTTATGCTAAATCTGTCGGGGGGATTTTTGTCAAATTTTATCATAATCCCTTGGGAGCTCAATGTATCGGTTGGGGTATTCTAGATTCTTTTGCTTGATTTTTCCCCAAATCTCCCCTCTTATCGTTTTTTACGATTATGTCTCCGTTTCCCCCGCTGATTTCATTTGTAGATTAAGATTGGAATTTTTATTCGAGGAAAAGAATAATATACTCAGCTGAGTTCTGAACCCTACATCTTTCTTTTATTATCATGTTAATGTTCACCGGGGAGAACTTGTGGAAAACCTGAGAAAATATAAAAAGAATATTTTTGATAAAGGTTCGCCTCTTCTCATTTTCCTTAAGGACTTTGCCTTTTCTAAAAGTAAAGAAGAAAAAAATAAAACAATGGCGCTGGAAAAAAATGGCTGACCGTACGTTTTTGTGTATAGAGAATTGTACTTAGAGAATAACTCCTTAACTTCTTTACCCAGGGGGTTCTTTCAGGAGATGGAGCACCTTCTCCTTCTCAACCTTTCCAGGTATCCTTCCCTTCCCACTCTTTCCCTTCTCACTCCTTCCCTTCCGTTCCCTCCCCTTCCCTCCCTTTCTCTCCTCTTCCCTCCCCTTCTCTCCCCTTTCCTCTCTTCCCTCCACTTACCTCTCCTTCCCTCTCTTCCCTCCCCTTCTATTCCCTCAATCCTTTTTTCCATTTCCCTTTTTTTCCCCTTTCCATTTCTCTTCTTTTCTCTCCTTTTCCCCTCCTTTATGAGTTTCGCACGGCCCTCCCCTATCCCACCCCTCCCATCTTCCCCCTGATCTAAATTTTCTTTTTCCCTCAGGAATACTCTAGGCAGTGACTGGTTGAAAAGAGAAACGTTTGCCGGATTAGGAAATGAGAAAACTGTTTTATTTTTTTCTACTTTTCCTTTTTTTGTCTTTTAGAGTTTGTTTTCATGGTACCTTGGTATTTCCAACCCTTTACTGGCATTTTAATTATGATTGCCTGCACTTTACATTTTACAAACAAACTTTCCAATTTATGTTTTCAAGTTTTGCAAGTAATTTTTAATTTGAGTTTGTGTCAAAAACTCAATTCCTTTACATAATTTTGTCAATTTTGTATTTTAATGTTTTGTAAAATATGCATACTAAATTTATAAGGAATAATTTATGAAATTCAAATAAAAATTAAATTGGATTTAAGATCGAGTTTTTTATTTAACAAAAATATATTTTTTTGTGATAAAGATTAAAACCAAAGAAAACTTGTCACACATACCATTTATTCAATAAGTGGAATAAAGGGATTGTTCCTGCATTTGAAAATTATACTCAAATATTAAATTTTATTTTCGTTAAAAAAAATCATACTGAGGAAAGAATTTTAGTCTTTGCCACAAGCTTTGATTTTCTTAACCCTGTATCTTTCCAACATAATGTTTACATTTTTAAAGGATTACACCATCAGGTTGCAAAGATATAGGTATTAGAGATTTAAAGTTTGTGGCAAAAGCTCAATTCATTAACTTTTGGGATAAGTTTTTTAAATTTTAAACAGTTGGGCTATTATGTCTTTAAAAAAAAGGTCTAACCACTTAAAAGAACCCAATTTCAAGTCTCAAGTCCAAGATTTAAAACTTTCAATTTTTATCTAAAAAAAAAACTTGAAAATCTGGATCATTTTTTCTTCAAAGAAGGTTTTAAGGGTACCTATGTGAATGAAAGGGTCACTTTGAATTACGTCAACTTCCCTTTAAATCAAGAAACATTTAAAGTTCGTTTAAAAACTAGTTTTCTCATCCCTGACTGATTAGTCCGACTGGTTGCGCTGGATCTGAGTTTTAATCATCTTCAGACTTTGGATAGTTCTCATCTTCAAGCGTTAACATCTCTTCAGATACTCAACCTTTCAAACAACAGGTTAGATTGTAAACAAACACCGGGATGAATATAAACAATGGTGGGGTATAATGTAAACAATGGTGGGGATGAATGTAAACAATGGTGGGGTATAATGTAAACAATGGTGGGGTATAATGTAAACAATGGTGGGGTATAATGTAAACAATGGTGGGGTAGAATGTAAACAATGGTGGGGTAGAATATAAACAATGGTGGGGTAGAATGTAAACAATGGTGGGGTAGAATGTAAACAAACTTTGGGGTAGAATGTAAACAAACTTTTGGATGGAATGTAAACAAATTTTGGGGTAGAACGTAAATTAATAGTGGGGTAGAATGTAAACAAATAGAGGGGTAGAATGTAAACAATGGTGGGTAAATGTAAACAAAATATTGGATGGAATGTAAATAAAAGGGTGGTAGAATGTAAACAAACTTTGGTATAAATGAAACAAATAGTTGGGTTGAATGTAAACAATGGCGGGTCGAATGTAAACCATGGTGGGTCAAATGTAAACAATGGCAGGTCAAATGTAAACAAACTTCGGTGAAAAATGTTAAAATGTAAACAAACGTTGGTATAAAATGTTAAAATGTAAACAAACTCTGGTATAAAATGTAAACAATAGTGGGGTAAAATGTAAACAACAATGTATAGAATGAAACAAAATTTTCTTAAATAAACTATCAAAAAAATTAAATAAAATCATTTGCATTTAGCAATGTAATAAGGTACAGGAACCCCTTTGATCTGATTAAAAAATGTAATCCTTACATCTTAATATAAAAAAAAAGTTTA